GTAGAAAGCATCTTTCACTCTACGTGATTTATGTCCCAACACAGAGAAGCAATCGTCATCACTAACATGATTTTTTAATATCAAGGGTAGCACCACATTTTTATCAACATAATTGGACGTTAGCTCATGAAGCTTATAGAGTTAACACTTACAAGATAATTTATACATGGGGCAAGAATAATAGTTCTTTTATACTGGTTACTTTTCCTCTTAGGTTTTATTCTCTTGAATAATGTAATCCATATTTAATACAACAGCTTAATTTTTAAACTAAATAAATCCACACTTCAATTACCCATTTTTAGTACAAGTTGAGTTTAGAACATTCATGATCATGTATGTAAGAAAAGAAGCAGATGAATTTTTTGTTATCACTGACAAGTCAATTCAAACAACTGCTTTCTTAAAACAGGATTCACAGGAAATTCCTTTTAAAAGCACACATCATTAAAGGCATATATTTCTTCATTAGCTGGAATCGGTGTTAAAGATATTGTGGCTATTTATCCATTTACATTAGTTTATAGGCGTAAAATGCCAGTTACAATGCTTCTGTTTTTTATCCCTTGAGTTGAATTGGCAAACTGAAACAAGAACTCTTTTTTAAGTCTTATTATTTATTATCTGTTGTTTTAAAAATCTGTATTTCAGACTCTTTGTGCAGATTCCAAACTTTACAGTTGTAATAAATGAATATGCAAGGCAACTTTAGCCTTCTGGGATAAACTGTCCTACAATAAAAACAAAAACCAAAAAAAAAAAAATAAGAGACAGGAATCTATAACCAAAAGAGGCTAGAGCATTAAAGCCACCATCTGGTGAGTTCAAGCCAAATAAAAATTCTCTATATTTTGCCTAAACCATCTAGATATCTGTTTTACTTTGCCTATGAGAATCTGACCTAAACTAAATGACTATTCTATATCATTAAGTTGTCCAGGAAAATGAAAATTTAAATATATGTCCGACAAGCTCTAGCATCTGGTACAATTCAGTAATGCTGGTCTGCTCTACAGAGCTTCAGTGTTGAGATAACATTAGGACTGAGAAGGCTTGGTTGACCTATAGGAAGAAAATAATGTTCTAGTCAGACATTCTCCCTGTTTACAAGCACTCATGCTTGCCAGATTATCTTCCACTGTAGGAAATATACAAAGTAAAATTCCTCTGTGAAGCATCTCACTATAGCTCTAATTCCACTTTGCTGCAGCCAAATAATATACCCTTGGTACAAAATGATCAGCACTGTTCATCTTTCACTGTAATAGTTTAGAAATTATTTTCACACTTTTTTTTTAACACATTGATTAATGCTTGATATTTCCCCTTAAAATAGAAAATGTCTCATAAAGTATTATTTCAGAGTGATAAAATTTAACTAGTTTAGATGCTCTCTTATAATTTGTTGACAAGAGAAGAAACATTTCTCCTTTTAAAAGAGCATATAAGCTGAAATATATGAGATCTTTTAAAAGAAGTTTAAAAGTGACCATGGTGACATTTGTATCAACAGCTCCCTTTCAAACTGTGTTACAAACCACATTGTGCCAAATTTACATATCTTTCAAAACAGAAGAGAATCAGGTTAAATGTGATTTTTAAAGTCAACAGAGTAGGAAAAAAAAAACTTGCAACAAATACCACAGAGTTTTAATGTATTTATTATGTAAACAAGTTAAACATAAGAAGAAAATACTAAGAATACAATAGACAACACAAAGAACACATTATAGGAAATAATACAATGTCAGTAAATATATATAAATGTTTCATCTCACTAGTAAAAAAAAAAAAAAAAAAAATGCACATTGAAAGAATAGTGCAGGCCGGGCACGGTGGCTCAGGCCTGTAATCCCAGCACTTTGGGAGGCTGAGGCAGGTGGATCACGAGGTCAGGAGTTCGAGACCAGTCTGGCCAACATGGTGAAAACCCTTCTCTACTAAAAATACAAAAAGTAGCTGAGCATGGTGGTGGGCACCTGTAATCCCAGCTACTTGGGAGGCTGAGGCAGGAGAATTGCTTGAACCCAGGAGGCCGAGGTTGCAGTGAGCTGAGATCATGCCATTGCACTTCAGCCTGGGTGATAGGATAAGACTCCATCTCAAAAAAAAAAAAAAAAAAAAAAGAATAGTGGAATACCATTTCACTCATCTTATCTCTGATTTTTTAAAAATAAGAATGTCCAAAGTGACAATCAGTCTGGTGACAGTGTAAACTAATATGATATTTTTGAAAAATAATGTATTAAATATTCATATCTTTTAGCCTACTAATTCCAGTGCTCAGTTTTTACCCAATGGGAATTTTAAAAGGCTGTAGATACAAGATATTCATTGACATGTTATTTATAATACTGAAAAAAATGAAAACAAATGCCCCAAAGTAGATGATTAATTACATTAATATACATTAATTGTGTTGGATAACATGTTGCTTTTAAATGATATTTAGGCTGATGCATAATAATATGGGAAAATATTGTATAATGTTAAGTGAAAAGAACAGGATGCAAAATTATATAAATTGTAAGCCTACTGCTCTTTGTAAAAACTCTATATGTACAGGAAAAAGGACATGAGGATTAAAAAATCTCCAGTATTTTCCCATTTGTTTTAATATTCATTTTGATATTTTCAATGTCATGTTATTAGTCAAAGCACTTTCAAATATGTTGCCTTATTTGTCACATTTCTCTTTAAAAAAAAAAAAGAGAAGAACCTTGTGCTTGGAAAGACTTATAAAATATCCTAATGACTATCAAACAAAATCCCAAATGAGAGCATTTGTTATCATTTTGGTTATAAATGCAGGGAATCTTGTATGTATGTGACTACGCAGCTGAAATATGTAACAGTCACAGACAGGGCTCTCAGCATCCACTCTGGTTCTGCCTCTAGCTCCCTTCCGAAACCACGGCTGCTTCCGGCACCTGTGAATATATTGCACTTATAAACCATTTGCAGCAGAGGGAATGTTATTGAATGTTTGTAATATCTGGGGGACAACCAAAACCAATTTTTCTTTCTCTTAAATTATAGCATCAAAAAGGAGCCATTTATTCAAATACGTGTGTTCTGTTTCTAACAGAGAGCAAATTCTTAAGAGGGCAGAGATACGGTTTATTTTTATGATATACACATTGCCTAGTTTACTGTGGGATTTTATAAAATAGTACCCTTTGCCGTATCAACCCTAGAGCAAGGGTGAACTGACATTCCATTCTTTCAGAGAGAAATGCTGTTATTTCCTCCTGTCCCTCCATTCCTCTTTGCAAACGTGGTCACTCCTTTGATAATTCACGACCCATCTCCACCATTAAGAGTCTGAAATCCTAGTCAAGGAATAACTGGGGTGGTGGGGGAGAGAGGGAGAGGAGTCTAAAATTCTAGTCAAGAAATAACTGGGGTGGTGAGGGAGAGAGGGGGGCGGGGGGGGGAGAGAGAGAGAGAGAGAGAAAGGGGGAGAGAGAGAGAGAGAGAGACTTCAGGAGGTTGCACTTACACTCTGGCAGTTTTTCCAGAAATTAGGGAGGCAGCAGCTCTTACTTTTGTGATGTCAACTTGTAGACTGAAATGCATCAAAGCTCCTCACCTTCTTCTTGTTGACGCGAGGGATGTGAAATGCGCTCTAGAATATGCATTCAGCGTGGTCCTTTGTTCTAGGTATGAGCTTTTCTTTTTCTAAAGTTTTTCGGTCTCGCTCAAGGAAAGGAAAGCAATATTTTGAGATTCTTTTAAAGGCACCTTCCAAAGCATTTCCCACAGAAAAATACCTCACAGCCCAACACTGGTTATTTCAGTAAGAATCGAGTCCAATCTTTTCCAATATGGCTGTATACATTGCAGGCCCCCAAATTTGTGCTTTCGTAGTCATCGTTAATCAAATAGGCAGAAACACTGTATTTAGGGAACCTGTGTTTCGTGGGCTAGAAGTGCATTCTGATTAATAAAGATCATGTTCATTTTGAATTCATCGTGGTTATTCGTGTGCCTTAGAGTCGCGGGCTTCGTCAGGGGTGGAGCGGGCTCGGGAGTGCCTGCAGCGCGGTGGGAAGCGGGTCTGAGCGCCCGGGTCATCAACCCGCTTTCAAGGGGTGCCGACACTTTTTCCCAAGAAGCTCGACCAGCCTCCGTGAGCGACTGGAAAGAATAAACCAGACTGTGACAGGAACAGAGAATTTATGTGATTGACAGGGAATACCAGGGCACCCGACTCCGTCCCGGGTCACCATGGCTCTGGGATTTGCACGAGTTTACCACCACCATTAACAGCTATTTGCGTAAGGTTGTTTACCGCCTGAGAGCGCCACAAGCCGACAGCGAAGCCACTTTGGGACCCCAGCCACGCCCCCTCTCCCCTCTCACCCCTCCCTCCCGCCAAACTAATGAATTCGGGACTGCCTTCTTGCCGGACCCTCCCATTGGCTCCTATTCCAGCCAATCAGAGCCTTGCAACAGTTTCACCTGGCTCCCGCTTCCCAAATAAACAAACAAACCGTCCGGCGACTGTGCGGGCTCTGCACCCCGGCGCCGCCGGCACTGCTTGCGCTCCGCGCCCCCCCAACCACCTCCCACCAATGGGGCCCCGACTGTGGCGCCCTCTCCCAGCCCTGATAGCCGGCCGGTTTCTCCTCTGCACCTCCAGGCCTTCTCCCGCCCGCTCATGCCTTCCTCGACTCCGGGGTAGAATCTGCTTGGCCAGAGAGCCCCGCCTCCTCCTCTTAGTCCTCTCTTGGCCCACAGGCCTGGAGATTCACCGGGAGGGTGTTGGCACAGCTGGAGGTGGCTCCGCCTCCCAAGCCCGCCGCCTCCTCCCTTGCACACCTCTACTGGTGGCCGCTCGCGCCCCTCCATTGCGCCGGTAGCAGGATCCGCAGCGGCCGCCGCGTGAGGCTTCGGTCACGTGTTGTTTTGCCCGCTGTCGTGCGCTTAGAGTGGAGTGGGCGGGGGCGCGGGCCAAGGCAGGAGGGGGCTGGGGCGGGCAAACGGGGGTAGACAGCCTCTTCCCTCAACCCTCCCTTTCCTGAATTCCCCCTCCTCCTCGCTCACCTTAAAACCATCGTGCATCACCATGGCGAGTTGCTCCTTCACTCGCGACCAAGCGACAAGAAGACTAAGAGGTGCAGCAGCGGCAGCAGCGGCAGCTCTAGCAGCAGTGGTGACCACCCCGCTTCTTTCCTCGGGAACCCCGACCGCACTCATTGGGACCGGGTCGTCTTGTCCGGGAGCCATGTGGCTCTCCACGGCCACTGGCTCCCGGTCAGACTCCGAGTCCGACGAGGAGGACCTCCCCGTCGGGGAGGAAGTCTGCAAACGCGGCTACCTGCGGAAACAGAAGCATGGGCACAGGCGCTACTTCGTGCTCAAACTCGAGACTGCTGACGCCCCAGCTCGCCTGGAATACTACGAAAATGCCAGGAAGTTCCGGCACAGTGTCCGCGCCGCGGCGGCTGCAGCGGCGGCGGCCGCCTCTGGCGCCGCGATCCCCCGGCTCATTCCACCGCGACGCGTGATCATCCTATACCAGTGCTTTTCCGTGAGCCAGAGAGCAGATGCAAGGTACCGACACCTCATTGCCCTTTTCACCCAGGACGAGTACTTCGCGATGGTGGCCGAGAACGAGTCGGAGCAGGAAAGCTGGTACTTGCTGCTCAGCCGCCTCATCCTCGAGAGCAAGCGCCGCCGCTGCGGCACGCTCCGCGCGCAGCCGGACGGAGAGCCGGCCGCGCTGGCGGCGGCAGCGGCAGCGGAGCCACCCTTCTATAAAGATGTGTGGCAGGTAATAGTCAAACCCAGGGGGCTGGGGCACAGAAAAGAGCTGAGCGGCGTGTTCCGGCTGTGTCTAACCGACGAGGAGGTTGTGTTTGTGAGACTGAACACCGAAGTGGCCAGCGTGGTCGTCCAGCTCCTGAGCATCCGTCGCTGTGGACACTCGGAGCAGTATTTCTTCTTGGAAGTAGGCAGGTCCACCGTCATCGGTCCGGGAGAGCTCTGGATGCAGGTCGATGACTGTGTGGTTGCCCAAAACATGCATGAGCTGTTTTTGGAGAAGATGAGAGCCTTGTGTGCAGACGAATACAGAGCCCGCTGCCGCAGCTACAGCATCAGCATCGGCGCCCACCTGTTAACCCTGCTGTCCGCTAGGAGGCACCTGGGCTTGCTGCCGCTCGAGCCGGGAGGCTGGCTCAGAAGGTCCCGCTTTGAGCAGTGTTGCCACCTCAGGGCCATCGGTGACGGGGAAGACGAGATGCTTTTCACCAGGCGTTTCCTAACACCCAGCGAGCCTGTGCCCCACTCCAGGCGAGGAAGACTGCACCTGCCCAGAGGGCGCAGGTCAAGGAGAGCGAGTTCAGTGCCGGCCAGCTTTTTTCACCGCTTAGCACCCAGCCCAGCACGTTCCCCGCACCCTGCAGAAGCCCCGAACAATGGAGCTTGCCTGTCTTCTGAAGTGTCTGGCTCTGGCTCTGGCAACTCTGGGGAGGAAGGCAATCCCCAGGGCAAAGAAGATCAGGAAGGAAGCGGAGGCGACTACATGCCCATGAACAATTGGGGCTCAGGAAATGGCCGGGGCTCAGGAGGTGGCCAGGGCTCAAGTGGCCAAGGCTCCAGTAGCCATAGCTCGGGAGGAAACCAGTGTTCAGGCGAGGGACAGGGATCCCGAAGTGGTCAGGGCTCAAGTGGTGGCCAGGGCTCAAATGGCCAGGGCTCAGGAGGAAACCAGTGCTCTGGAGATGGCCACAGCACCGCAGGTGGGCAAGGTTCAGGTGGTGGCCAGAGACCTGGAGGTGGGCATGGCTCAGGTGGTGGCAAGAACTCTGGAGGGGGCAAAGGCTCAGGAAGTGGGAAAGGATCCGATGCTGATGGTGAACGTGGAAAATCTCTGAAGAAAAGATCCTATTTTGGCAAATTAACTCAAAGCAAGCAACAGCACATGCCACCACCTCCACCACCTCCTCCTCCGCCCCCACCAGCTGGAGCAACTGGTGGAAAAGGGAAGTCTGGGGGAAGATTCCGACTTTATTTTTGTGCTGACAGAGGAGCCACAAAAGAGCGCAAAGAAGCCAAAGAAGTGAAAGATGCAGAGATCCCAGAAGGTGCAGCTCGAGGTCCCCACAGAGCCAGAGCTTTTGATGAAGATGAGGATGACCCATACGTGCCAATGAGGCCAGGGGTGGCTGCCCCTCTTGTAAGCTCCAGTGATTATATGCCAATGGCTCCTCAAAATGTCTCTGCTTCAAAAAAGCGCCACTCTCGATCCCCTTTTGAAGATTCAGGAGGGTACATGATGATGTTTCCCAGAGTGAGCCCACCACCTGCTCCCAGTCCTCCAAAAGCACCTGATACTAATAAAGAGGATGACTCAAAGGACAATGACAGTGAGAGTGACTACATGTTTATGGCTCCTGGAGCCGGTGCAATTCCAAAAAACCCCAGAAATCCTCAGGGTGGCTCTTCCTCCAAAAGTTGGAGCTCCTACTTCTCTCTACCAAACCCTTTTCAGAGCTCACCTTTGGGACAGAGTGACAACAGTGAGTATGTGCCAATGTTACCTGGAAAGTTCCTGGGGAGGGGCCTAGACAAAGAAGTCTCCTATAACTGGGGCCCCAAAGATGCAGCTTCAAAGCCTTCAGGTGAGGGATCATTCTCAAAGCCTGGAGATGGGGGATCACCTTCAAAGCCTTGGGATGATGGGTCCCTAAAGAATAAGGCTAAGAGACCTAACCGACTTTCTTTTATTACAAAAGGATATAAAATCAAGCCAAAACCACAAAAGCCCACACGTGAACAGAGAGAAGCTGACAGCTCTCCTGACTACGTCAACATCGACTTCGCTAAAAGAGAGAGCAATACACCAGCTCCCTCTACTCAAGGACTACCAGGTTCGTGGGGCATAATTGCTGACCCCAGACAGTCAGCCTTTTCTAATTATGTGAATGTTGAGTTTGGAGTACTATTTCCAAATCCAGCAAACGACTTCTCCGATCTTTTCAGAGCTATACCACGTGCCAACCCCTTATCTCTGGACAGTGCTAGGTGGCCACTTCCTCCCCTTCCCCTGAGTGCTACAGGTAGCAATGCTAATGAGGAAGAGGGTGACTACATTGAAGTAATTTTCAACTCAGCAATGACACCAGTCATGCCTCTTGCTGACAGTGCCATTCGCTACGATGCTGAAACAGGTCGAATCTATGTGGTCGACCCATTTTCTGAGTGCTGTATGGATATTTCTCTCTCCCCCAGCCGATGTTCTGAACCACCACCTGTAGCTAGGCTGCTGCAGGAGGAAGAGCAGGAGAGAAGACGCCCACAAAATCGTTCTCAAAGTTTCTTTGCAGCAGCCAGAGCCGCTGTCTCTGCTTTTCCAACAGACAGCCTCGAGAGAGACCTTTCCCCATCCTCAGTCCCGGCGGTTACTTCGGCTGCAGAGCCGACTTTAGCGGTCAGCCAAGTTGTAGCTGCGGCCTCCGCGCTCGCCGTAGCCCGGGGCATCGGCGCAGCAGCCGCCGCTGCTGGATTTGACTCCGCCTCTGCCCGCTGGTTTCAACCTGTTGCTAATGCTGCTGATACCGAAGCAGTAAGGGGAGCCCAAGACGTTGCCGGTGGCTCGAACCCCGGAGCCCACAACCCATCTGCAAACCTTGCCAGAGGTGAGAACCAGGCTGGCGGGGCTGCCGCTGCAGCTGCCGCTCCCGAACCACCACCTCGCAGTCGCCGGGTGCCAAGACCCCCGGAGAGAGAAGATACTGACGACGACGACGACACTTACGTGAGAATGGATTTTACCAGACCTGATAACCAGTTCGACTCTCCCAAAAGAGGTCGGTAATTTTAGAATTAATTTCCCTAAAGAGAATGGTCATTGTCTAATGATTCGATGTGCTACAGTCTACAGTGTTAGGGATAATATTTCATTAACTGGTGCTATTCGACATGGAGGATAGAATTCAGTTTTAATTATTCACACAATGCCTTTTTGATCTTTGCAAAAATTTGTTTTTATCTAATCAATTTCTTTATCTGGACAGAACTGATTATCATTTAAACATTGGTTCTACTTTTTTAGGAGTAGTTAAAACGCAGACATATAACATAAGGATACTTTCAAACATCCTTCCTCATCATTTAATGATAATGTAAAGCAGGTGTCGTAAATTGGGTTCCACCAACTAATTTTCAAATCAACAATTAAAAGTTGCTCTTCTGCAAATGCCCATATTTAAGTGTGGGAATTTAATAAGAGCACAGACTATTAAGCAGTAACAATCAACTATTTGTGTTTGGGGAGGATATTTTTCTCCTCCGAAAGTTACTTTTTAAAGAGCAGTCATTGTTATGCTAGTTTGTTGTGATTTACCAAGAAAGTTAAATCTCAATTGTTAACGTGAATGTCTGGGGAGAACAAAACATAAACAATCCAAACCAAGAGGTGATTAAAAGAAGACAGTATTTGGCTCGGGAATATGTTTGTGTGTTGATTTTCTTTTTGTTTTTACACAGGATAAATTCCAGAAACCTTGAGTGTTCCTTTTCTCTGTCACTAGTAATGACAGGCAAGTCACATTTGCTGTGCCTCATTTTCTTCTTTTAACCCCCCACCCTTCCAAAAGAGGATGTGGTGACAACTTGATAAAGGATATGAATATTATTTCAAAGGCTTAAAAAGCAGTTAAAACTTTTAATTCGTATATCTTATGGGAAATCAAGGAAAGCAAGATAAGGCTGGAGGAAGACCTGACTCCAGGGGCGGCTTACCCTGGAATGGTGGAAGTTTTTAAAGGGCTACTTTTCCAAAGGAAGAAGTAAGAAAGAGTAGGAGCTGTCAGACTTGGAAACAAGACTTAGAGTAATTTTACTGTGTACAATATTGTGCAGTGTTGTCATCAGTGTGTCTTGAAACATTTTCAAGAGATGATTGCAGAAGATGATGTCTCCATAGTCTCAACTGCCTTCCCTCTTTAGTAGAATATGCTTCTTTCCCAGTGAAGGGAAGGGATGGACCTCGGCAGTTTTCATTCCAGTAGTCAGTTTAGTGAAGATTTTTGCTTTGCTTGCTTTGTGGAATGCTTTTGTGATTGGATCTCTGCCCACTGTGCTTGATCAGGCAGAACAAGTCGGGGACTGATCACAACAGTCACCTAACAAGCCCCCTATTTAATGCAGGTGTAGCCCCCCCACATCCCCTTTCTCTCCTTGCTATAGAAAACTTGCCATACAAAAACTCACATTTGCAGCAGGGACACATTAAAGAGTGATCATTAAAACAACAAAAGGATGCTTTGGCTTGCCAAAAGATTCAATTCAGACCTCTTTTAAACTGTGAGTTCCCTCCCCAACACACACACATACACATACACACACACACAAACACACATGATCACCACTGCTACCATAATCGTACATTTAAAATATATAATTTCATTTCCAAGACTTTAATCCATAATAAGATTTTCAAGAATAGATCTACTTTATTCTGCAGAATATACCTGAAAATTGATCTCAAGCTATTGTTCGAGTCTAACTATTGAAGACACCATTTATACTTTTGATGTAGATGATACATAGTTGCCTGTGTCCCTGTAGTACTTTCAAAAGGACCAGTTTTCATAGAGGTCTAAGAAGTTTAGGATTTAAAATAGTGAAATCTTACTGTTCCTCGAATAAATTCTGACTTCCAAGGAATACCTAGACACCATGATCATTATTTTAGCATAAATTACTGATTTATGACTTTGTAGCTATTTTGGGGATTTAACGTTCTGTAAATGCATTGTTTATTGAGGAAATTCCTAGCTTTATTGAGTGACTACAGCAAGGAAGTTCTATCTCACAGGGAGGCAGGTACTTAGGTTGAAATAAGAGAATCAACGTGGAAGCACTTTGGAATGTTAAAGCACTTTGCAAATGTAAGATATTTTTAGTGTCATTGGGTTAATACTGAAGTGAAATTTCGGCAGTTTAAACTGATTTAGTTTCTTGCAAAATAATTAGTCTTGAGAGTGATTCCTGCACATAATTTGCTGAAATACATGAAAGGAATGGTGGGGGTTGGGGGGTGGTGGTGGTGGTGGTGGTAGTGGTGTTGATGGTGGTGAAACAAACCATTGTAGGAAATGACTTTGGTTACCATTTTAATGTAAATTGTATGGTAGAATGTTGTCTGTGAAGTGTTAAGAACAAGCTGAATGATTCTGATCCTTTTTTTAAATCATAAAGCTGTAGAATAATTTTCACTCATTTCTGATCTCTATTTTCCTGTCTAACATTAAAACAAAAACAATCGTGTTAGGAAACAAAAACATAACGCTTTGACAGAGGAACAAATACCGTCTTTGTTAGAAGTTATGTATTTCAAAAAGTCATTTTAATTGATGGCAAGTGCTTAGAATAGTGCCTGGCATACAGTAAGTACTATACATGAATTATTTTATAGCTATTGCCATTGTTATTGTTGCTACTGTTATTATTACATTTAGAAAAACAAACCTAAATTAAGATTCTCCATCTGAAAAGCTCACTTTTCAGTTAGTCTTTACTTGCATTTAAAATACTTTACATTATTGTTCAGAGTTGGGATCTTTATAGATTACCATTTAAGTGAGACTATAAATCTGTGAGACAGCTGTTCTCATGTAACACAAATTTAGTATATAATTCCATTTACCTACAGTCACATTGCATATAAGTAAATGCCTTAAGGGAATTTACTTAAGTTGATTAGAAAGAAACACCCAGAAGTATAACCTTAGACATGACTGTATTAATAAATGAAATACTTTTTAATCATTTATTGAAGATGAAGTCTTCACATTTTAAACACATAGGTCATAGGCATTAGCATTTAGGAGAAGAATGTTGTTTCTTATGTAGTTTAGTTTGACTGTTAACCTATGTATGACTATTTGCTTCTTTTTCTACCTTACCTGATAGAGAATTCATAGTTCAAAATGACTTGAGGTGAACATTTTCCCGGTTTTTTATTCAAGAGTTGGGAGGATATAAAAGGGCAGCTCTAGGAGGGGTGAGAGAACTGGTCAGCCAAGTTAGTAATGTTATGATGGGCACTTGGTATTAAAAAGCAAAAAAAAACCACTTTAGTAATTAATTAATTTTTGCGTCTTAGACACTGTTATCACCATGAAGCAATCTTATGCTTTTTTTGAGTGTACTACTGCCAAACTTGTTGCTATCAGTTATAGGCACTAAGAGCACATTGTTTTTATTCCATTGAACTTAATTATAATTTATTATAATAAAATTTCCATATAGCAGAAATTTCCCGGCTACCATTGATGGATCACTTATTTTAGGTAATATTCAACCCCTCAAAATTGGACAGTGTTTGGACTAATGAGGTATTTGACCTGTAACAATTAAAGAGGACCTCATTTAATTAAAGTTAACTAAAGTTGTTCACAATCATTATTCATTTGCATTCATTCTAAGAGTGATGTTTTCAGGGTAAAAATTTCAACTACTAGCAAAATACCTACTTCAAACAAGCACCAGAACTTTAATTAAGCACATCAGAATATCATACATGTATAAAAATTCAAACAAGATCTCTTACTTTCTTTTTCTCTCCCTAATCCCCTGTTTTGGGAACAAACTCAGGCTTCTCAGAGTGACCAAAAAAAAAAAAAAAAATTCCTGTGGGAATAGATGTGGCTGACGAGTGTAGGGAGAACTAAGGAATAGTTTATGTGATTTAAAAGGGTTTATTGTTAAATTGTCAAATTGTTGATTGAGGAAATGCTTTCCAGTTGCAGATTGCCTTATAGTTTGCAAAGCACATTCACATTCATTATTTTACTGATGGACGGTAAGTACTGGAAATGAAGCCCATGTTGAGAATTTTCCTGAGATCAAAAAGGTAAGTGGCAGAGCTGAAAATCTAACTCATACATCTGATTTCAAGTCCAGTGCTCCACCCAACACATGACACTTCCCTTTAATCAGGTGTGTAGTCTGTTATTTTCCCATTGGTGACAGATTATTACATGGGTAATGATTAGGAAAAAATTACAAGTTTGCTTTCACTTGATAGTAGCAAATTTTGTTGAAAGTAATTCATTCAGAGCATTATAACCGTGGACTACCTTCCAGGACTTGGGTAATTTTATTACATTGAACTGTTTGCCCTGGCTTTTAGAATAAAAGAATTTGACTTGTGCTGGAATTGAATGTTTTAAATCTGATCTGGGGAGGAGTTGGTTAATCTTTACTGCCCAAACACAAATAGTGTGTGTATCTATTTAGATCCCACAGAAACATGGAAAGGAAAGAAAGTAAATTGAGGGTGCATTCAGTAAATTTCCATTAATGCTCATTTCTTTAGAAGTTAGATTTCTTTGATTTTCCTAATAATTCATTGACATTTGGGAGTTATAGCAAAAAGTCTTTTCATTTAATTTCTTCCTTCATTATAAAGTTTGGTATTCTAATCTAAACCAGCACAGTAGGCAAAACAGGATAAAGTAAGACAGGTGGAAGAATAAGCAGTGTAGCAATAGACGTTCTTCATTTGTTTAAAAAGTAAACTTGCTTTTGGCAGTCAGGCAAGTAGATTTTAGAAGCCTTGAAAATCAAACTCTCTCCTTGGGACATAAAAATCCCTGTTTACAATTAAGTTCATTTTGATTTAGCACCTTTTTTAAGGCTTTAAGATTATGTAAAAATAGCCCAGACGTTTTATTGGCAGTATTGGAAAATAGCTTTTGTAAAATGCTTAATTAAAACCTTCAGTATATTTTCTCTAAGAGGTGCTGCCAGAATCTTAGATAGTGAGGATCGTTTACTAGAAAATGTTGCTTGGTCTTGAATGAGAAA